TGTAAAATGTCATTGGTTTCGTCTCTCTTTTGATGATCTGGTGATGTTCATATGATGTCGATTACCTATCGAGCTCAACAGGAAGATCATCAAGAGAATGGCGAAATCAACAACATTTACATCTGTAGCCACTTTGCTAAATATGTCCTTAATTTGAAGGCGCTTTAATTTAATCATTTATTGTTGTATATATACCTTTTTATTATTGAAATTAAGAAAATATAATAACAGATAGTCTATAAAAACGCAAGTGAAATTGTTAGGAATGTTGAAACTAGAAATTCGATAACCTCATATTTATTTCATTGTTTGGTGTATTTTTAGTTAATTTCTTGGATACAATTGGTGAGACAAAAATAAGTAAAATAACAGTCTTTATAAATGATTGAATAGTATTGTCTGTCGTTGAAGAAGATGATTCAATCACAAATGATCAATTTGTTTCATTGAAATTGCAGGGTTGTAGCTCTCATAGCTATACGTCTATGGCTACACCATTTTGAAAAATTGGTATAGTTGTGACCCACATGTTATATTACACAGCCTATATACTTATTGACTATGGGAACAAATGGATTAGTCAATTTGTATGATAAGTTAAAACTAATTATTAGCAATCTGAAATCAAAACATTTTTGATAAGAAACCAAAAGATGTTTAGTCTTGTATATAATCTATATATTAAAATCTAATAAACAACATGTGGTAGATAGAATTATAGGTACATAAACAAAGTTGCCAAACATAATTTCAGTGAGAGGAAGTAACATAAAGTGTTGTTGTGTCAAAGGTTTTTCTTCAAATAGTATCATCTTCCCAAAACAACATTTTCTACAAATTCTACACTGACTCTTTGGATGGTCTTTGATAAAACCTCCGGTTTGATCAACCATCTCTCCATCATCGAGTGAGTAACTGGACACCAAACCCAGCAAGCTCATCTGCATTAAACATCATCATCAGTTCTGGTTACAGTTTTGGAAAACAAATATAAAGACGGAACATAGATGAGATCAGCAATGGACCAGATAGATTCCAATATATCTACGGCCTAATAAAGACTAAAGTACACACACCTTTAGAGGCAAACACATGAATCCAAAAAACAAACAAGAATGGTAGGCTTATTCACACAAACATTGAATCTAAGTGATTTTGACATACGAATCCTTATGTTGAGAATTGAGACACATGGTGGGTTAGAGCTAAGAACCATAGACACTTAAGGGCTATATATATATATAAACTAAAAGGTGAGGCGAGAGTTATTAACGTACCATCCGGAGGTGCCAGGTCGGTTTCCGCTCGATCTTGGTCGACCGAAGTGGTCTGGATCGGACCGGATCCTCTCATACCCGCCTGATCTGGGTCGACCGGTTTGTCCATACCCGAAATACCCCTGCCGCTGTTGTTGTTCCTGGTGAGGGAATCTCTGACTCGGATTCGGATTTGAAATCGGATCTCTCATCCGGGAAGAGTCGAGTCCAGGTTTCTCATCTTTCCGGACAAACCCTGGCCTAAGATGCGGAGGCACGAACCGGTCTGGTTTCGGGGAAACGGAAATCGGAGCCGGAGCAGCCACATCCTTGCCGGATTCCTGTGTTCGAACTGGAAACGAAAGCGAGGAACCAGGTCCTGTATGACCTAGAGGACGAAGAGAGATCTGATTCGGATCTGGATCAGAGTGGGGTTGATCCGGTGTGTTGGGAGCTGGAGAGAGCGTAGGTGTGACGGTTGTGATGGTGCTTACGGCGGGAGCGTGAGATTTCAGGGGTTTCGGTGAAGTTTTGGTAAGGACGAGCATACGGCCATTGGAACGAGCGACGGAGGAATAAGAAGGAGGAGAAGGATGATGGTCTTTGTGGAGGATGTGGTTATAGTTAATGGATGTGTATTTGTTGTTGGCTCTTGCCATTCAA